ATGGCAGGATGGCACCTGTTGTTGCAGTATGATACACAGATGAGCGGTGTCAGTTAATAATATGGCCGGACGGCACCTGTCGCGGCAGTAGTGTAGTTTTAATCACTGACGGTAATGACATAATGTAAGGAGCTGGAAAGTCCCTATAGGATGCGTGGAAGGGGCGGTGGATAGATCTGACAAACCCTAGACTTTAATCCAAACTGTATGCATAGAAACTATACATTTCCTGTGAAAACTGACATCTGACAACAGGCATAAATCGACAAGTCATCCCGCAACATCAACAGTAAGCAAAGGAGGATACCTAGCATGTAATATGTAAATATAAATAGCATTGACCAAGCGGTGATATGTGATGTGCTGCGATGACAACGGGTTGGAAACATACCAAATTTCAGCTTAAAGGGAAATTTTGGTTTATTTCAACCTGTCTCCTATCGTCCTCCTAAATTTGTTTCATGTGACTAGTGACATAGAAATAATAGTTAGCATGTTAGCCCTTAGCCTAGATACAGCCGTAGCGTCAGACCTGTTAAAACGTAAGTGAACGGGCAACCTTCAAGTGCAAAGTTAGTCCACTAAACAAGCTTTTTTTCCACAAAGACCACCTCATATCGTTAGGATAAATGTCAGAGAACATATAGAAAACGACATGTAAACGTGTTGTCTTACCTTACTGGTGTGGTGCCATGTTTGTTTACCATTTAGCTTTGCTTTCTAAAGTGCAGCCGAAATATATCTCGTGAGCTCTAGATAAAGCCCAGCTGGATACTACTCCAGGTGGAGGTGTCTCGTCCTCGGTCACATCCAGACCTTGAAGATAAGGCTGCAATCAGTCCCATTCCTTGCAACAGAGGCATTCCTCTTCTGGGGCACAGCATTCACAGGTACACCACCAATCTCCAGAGCTACGCAGCCTTGCAGCAGCCATTCCTCCTCTCTCGTCCTCTACCTGTTGTGCCTCTCTCTCTCCTCCTCCTCCGTTCTTCAATTTCATGAAGCTCTTCGTCAGTGTATTCTGGCTCAAATAAATAAGGGCAGCCATCAAACTCTGCAAAATCAAATTCCTCCTCCACAAAGTCGAAGTCTGGCAAAAAGTCATTATTCTATAAATCTTTCATAAAATAAATTAATGAACTTTTCAGGCTACTGTCTGGTTCTGCCTTCCAGCTGTTGCTGTTTGTTCTCGCGATATTTCGGCCGCGCTTTGGAAAGCAGAGCTAGAGGGATAAACAAACATGGCAGCACACCGGTAAGGTAAGACAACACGTTTACATGTCGTTTTCTATATGTTCTTAGCCTGGTTCCAGACCATAGACCCCGCCCACTCAACTGAGTAGGCTTGCATCTCTGGTCTGGCATACTTCAATGAATTTGCGATTTATCTCGTCCAAACGCTGGACGGACCAATGAACGCCGGGGGTCTAGCAATTAGCCAATCAGCACCATGCTGATGTCAAGCTGTACGCCGGTGGGTAACTGGTGAGGATAGCAACAATGGCGACCGCTACAGATCTTACAGACCACATTAACGATGCTATCGAGGTATTTCGCCACTACTCGCGTTAATGGAGGACCAAATTAAGGAAGCTGCTAAACTGGACTTAATGGCGATGCAGCTGGGCATGCACGACGACGGAGACATTTTAAACGGGCAATGCTCGCTTGTTTTCGGCACCCCCGAGGCATGGATACTAATGACGTCAGATTCTGGGTGAGTCGTTGATCTCTACTGATTGGTTAGGGAAAAAATCAAATTCCCTCCCCCTTGTAAATCGCCTTCAATGGAAGCCATGTCAGACTGAAGGTTCTGGGAGCTTCAGTCTGACACTCAGGCTAATATGTTCTCTGACATTTATCCTAAAGATATGAGGTGGTCTTTGTGGAAAAAAGCTTGTTTAGTTGACTAACTTTGCACTTGAAGGTATGCCCGTTCACTTACGTTTTAACAGGTCTGACGCTACTATGCGCCCCCAGCTGTATCTAGGCTAACGGCTAACGTGCTAACTATTATTTCTAAGTCACTAGTCACTTGAAACAAATTTAGGACGATAGGAGACAGGTTGATATAAACCGAAATTTCCTTTTAAATTAGTGACATTTCATCAAAATCACTTTATTCTACATGTCTCATTAAAATTTTGCACTGTTTGCACTTACCAGATCCTGTAACAAACAAAAAAACAAGGCTTTTTTTCAATTCCACAATTTCGTTTTCAACCTTATACTTTTTTCATTCTGGCCTGGCACTGCTGACACTGTTGTGTACAGTTTATCTGGGAAAACAGTCATAACACACTTTGCTCATGCTGGATCAAAAAAACAAACAAACAAAAAAAAACTGTTGCTTCATGGAGGGTCAAGATAAAACAAAAAAAAAACAAGGAGTCACATCTTCCTCCTCCGATAAATAGAGAACAGTCCCTTTTATGGCAGAGTTGCAACTGAAACACGAATATTAAAGTCCACAAATCAAACCAGTACAATTCAGACAGAAGACTCAGGATTGCAAATACACCCACGCACTGACTGATGATAAATGAGCAGAGAACCCCACATGGCATCGGACTATTCATGTGTGAAAAAACTCACTGTCTCTGTTCACTGCTGGACCGGGGCCCAAAACCTCCTGGGGAATCACAGATTGCAGCTGTGCAACCAGGAAATGCAGAGGATCAGCCTTCCTTGCTGTGTTCTCTCCAGACTTGCTAGTGCAGGGAAACACAGTAACTGTTGAGAGCTCAGAAAACACTTGTCAGATAGTGATACCCTGGGGACTTTGGGGGAATCAAGGAAAACAATCATGTGGTTGCAGAGACTAAATATGAATATTTTGTTTCACTCTTTTTTTTCTCATATCTTTCCCCTGGAATCTGAAACTGAGCTCTGGGATCTGGTGTTTATTTGTCTGGCTTCAGCATCACCCTCCGTGAACTCATGTTTTTATGTTTATGTTCTTGAAATTGAAAGTCGAGTGGTATGCATTTATAGGGGACAAAGTGTATGGTTGTAAGATGTTTTGTCTCAGCACTTACAACTCACTGAATTTTGGTGTTCTTCTCAAATTTTGATGCAAAGTAGCCTTGTTTGTCTCATACAAATAGCAATGTTTCAAACTTCTCAAGCTATATCACAGAATTCATTAATTGATGTCAGATACAAGGAGTTCTATTCATGGGCGGATTATGACAGTCTGGGCACGGATATGCAAAAGGACCCACCATGTCTCCTTCATAGGCACGTGACACGCAGCCTCTTGTTGTTGTGGTGTCTTCTTTGGGTCATTTTGTGTCACTCTGAGGTATTTTTTTGGTTGTTTTGGTCCTTTTTGTAGTTATTTTGTGTCTCTCTGCACTCCCTGGGTATCTTCTGCAGTTATTTTGAGTCACTTCCTGGTCAGTATATGTTAATTTAAATGACATTTTGCAGGTGAAGGCCAGAGGGGTCCCTAGGGCTGTGCCCACTAGGCCTATTCAATAATTCATCCATGGTTCATTTGTCACAACCAGGCTAAGTTGTAACAATAAGAGTGACAACTTAAACATTAGACAGTTGTAAAAAAAAATACACATAAAAAACTGAAATATAAACTGCACCTGTCAGATGCTTAGTATCTCATGTAGAGTGAGTCCAAAATACAAGTCTGCTGCCTCAGTATAGGAACCTGTCAAGACATCATCTGGCTGTGCATTGAAGACTATCTGACTTTCCTCTTTCTTGCTGTACCTGCTCAATGTCACATGACAGTATCATCTGGGGACAGACCTGACTGTCTTTCCCTGCCTCACCTCATCTGATGCAGATTTTAGTACATGCACAAGCACACACACATCAGTTTTTCTCACCAAGTCTCCTACCATGCTGAAAGAAAAGGTAAGGTAAAGAAGTTATATTTAGTTGTAACACTTGAAGAGGTGTTACAACCATCCCTGCCTCTGTGAGCCGTTGTTTCGCAAGCTGTGGCAACACGGTGGTTTGAAATGAGCAAAGATGAAATGTCACACATTTACCCAAGAGACTAAATGCAGGTTATTACATGACTCATCTCTTCTTGGTGAAAGTGGTGCTGTTACAACTCTCCCCTACCCCTAAGTATCTATCTTCTGTTATGCAGAGCCATTTTTTTGTTTTGTTTAAATCTTTGTTAAATGCACATAAATCTGTTTTGATAACCATCTAATTTTTGAGATGGTTTGTGGAGCCCTTATATGGACTTTTTGGAAACTCATGAGTAAGTTTTTTTTTGCAAATTATGCACTGCTGTGATAATAATTTTGTTATTTTTTTATTTTATTTATTTATTTATGTACTTTTATTATTATTATTTTATTCTTGAAATTACTTGTGTATTTTATTTTTCTTACCAGGGTTGGTGGATATTATACGTATGTTCTTTGTTGAAATGCTACTGTTCATGCTTGTTAAAATTCAATAATATTTTTTTTTAATACAACAACATACATTTTGAAATCCAAAGTGTAAAAACAAATTATTATTTTGTAAAAGCAGTGTGCACAACAAATTATTGTAAAATCTATAAATAACCTGAAAACATATGTCTTTCTTTTATATTTTTTAAACCCTTTTTTAATGTTTGAGCCTCTTTATGCTCAGTATGACTTCCACTAATTATGACTTTGACTATGACCATGGCAGTAACCAAAAGGTTTCAACAACAAGCATTTTATTTATGGCAGCCTGTGTCATTTCAGGGCTGGTGCACTAAAAGCAGAGCTTATTTGATTACAGAGCTAATCGTGGTGACTTTAGGAGATTTATGTTGGGACCCCAGGGTGCTGCCTCCAAAAGCTGCAATGACCCCCAGCCCATAGGGATAGCCTTTAATGATAAAAGGCAGCTACAGAGACCAGTGCAGAGTGGTGCGCCCCCCTGTGACAAAAGACTACAATGCCCACCGTTGACGGCGGAGCGACAGAGCGCGGCAGGCAGCCCGCAACTCGCGATAACTCGCGTTGGGGCAGCAGCTGGGCGGAAAAGGCGGGAGAAGACTGCCGCTTCCGCGTCCGCGCACAGCCACAACACTATGGAGGGCAAAATGGACGATAAGTTAATATTGGCTGTATTTAATTACCCAGAGCTGTACAATGTCACTTTGCCGAATTACCGCTGCACAGAAAGTCGGGCAAACGCATGGAGAAACATCAGTATCGTACTGGGTCTCCCGTGTGAGTATCTGAGTGTTTATTTTGTTTATCACAACTTTACTGCCAGTTATTATTTCCTTAGCCGCTGTCGCCATGACAGACTAAACACACAGAAACCAGAAAGCATTTGCAGATAAATGACTTTAACGTATCTGTTGTAGAAAAATAGCTTTTTGTTATTTTTTATCCGCGCGAGTACAGCCCCGTGGCGTTGATGCAGCCGCGCGCACCGTGCTAGCGGTAGCAGCCGCAGCTCGCACGCTGTAGGCCGCGCTGCACCGGACGGCAAGGTCCGGCTCTGCCACAGCGCCGCCAGCCGCATGTCCAACACGGCACGGCGGAGGAGGAAACAGGCTCCGCGTCACGGAGTCGCTGAGTGCACCGAGCCGCGTGTTTCTCGTCTCGCTCGTTAACATCGCGAGCTCCGTACAAACTGAAAGCTTCTCGAAGTCTCGTTGAAGCGGCGGCGGCAGCAGCACGGTGTGTTGGATAAAACATGTGAGAGGCAGCGGACGGAGGCCCCCAGCCTGATGTGTTATCAGGTGCACAAGTCATAGTGATGGGGCCGCGTGGAACACGGGTGAACTCTCAGTGACCTCCATAGGTGGCTCAACAGCACCGAAATAAAAATAAAAATAATTATCTGTACAAAGTATGTATGACACTTTATAAAGACTCGCAATTAAAGCCTAAAAATGAAAATTTTATTCAGATAAAGTAGTGTTTTGCCTTATTTTAATGCCTCATTATATACTGTACATGCATTACTGTACATTACACTCCCTTGCCACTTTATTAGGTACACCTGCACAGATTAAGGCAACTCAACCCAACAGATCTGCCATAAAGTCTACATGTAGGAAGATTTTAATGCTCAGTTTTTGATAAACATTTCCAAGAGGTGTTATTTCAATTATATGATTTTGTTTAAAGCCAAATAACTCTAAAGCTGAAACCATTAGTTGTTTAATCAGTCAACAGGAAATAATAGCTGTTGTGATAATCTGCAAATAATTTAAGTAATTTTCAAAACCAAAACGCCTTTTTTTCTTATTGTATAGTCAATTGAATATAGTTTGGCTTTGGATCATCACTCAACAAGAAATAACCAGCTGTTGTTGTGTTAATAAGTGAATAATTCAAGTAATTTTCAAGCCAAAATGCCTTTCGGTGTCTTATTGTATAAGAAATTAAATATATTTTGGTTTTGGATAATCAAAATAAACAGTTTGAAGACCTTAAACTTCAGGAAAGTAATGGGCACTCTTTACTCCCTTCTGGGAATTTACAGATCAAACAGTATATCCATTAATAAATAATTTAATTTAGTCAATAATGAAAATAACCATTAGTTGTAGCCATAATAAGAAACCTTTCTGACAGTCTCAAAAAAGATAAAAAACATAGAAAAGTAACACACACCAAGGGCTGTAGTAAGGTATTGTTGACTGGAAGTACACTTGAAAGGAATATACACCGATGAGGCAAAACATTAAAACCACTGACAGGTGAAGTGAATAACTTTGATTGTTTTGTTCCAATGCATTGTTCTGCTGAGAAACCTTTGGTTCTGACATTCATGTGGATACCACCTGACATGTTCCACCCACTCAAACACCGTTACAGTACTCCCCAATGGCAGTGGCCCCCCAGCAGGATAATGCACCATGCCACACTGCAAACATCGCTCAAGAATGGCCTAAGGAATGTGACAAAGACCTCAAAGTGTCAACCTGGCCTCCAGATTCCCCAGATCCAAATCTGAGCATCTGTGGCACGTGCCATTTACCCACCTCACAACCCACTGGACTAAACGGACCTGCTGCCAACAGGACACTTCCAGAGATCCTGTGTCCATGCCTCCACAGGTCAGAGCCAAGTCCGATCCAAGGAGGCCCCACCTTGGATTAGGGGTATATCTGGGGTATCAGCACATCACAAGAATCCTTGAGCAGATTGGGACCTGTGGAATTTAGCAGCCAGGTCGACACCTTGAACTTTTTGTCTTGCTCCACAGGCCATTTCTAAACACACTCTGGCTCCATATGCATCCCTCAACAATCATAATTACTGATCAAGAAGAAAGACCGAGAACCGAAACGTCATCTAAATTACAGAGAAATCTATATTGAGCCAGAGTATGCAACCTTTTATTCTACTTTCAGGTCTAAAAAATCATACATTTACTTCACAGAGGAACAAAAACTAGCAAATTTATTCACACAGTCCAAAAGCTTTTTTACATAGCACATTGTGCAGCTGTTACTTTGTCCGTGCGGCTGTATTACATTCTAGGACGGAGACCAACCATGTGCCACAGAGAGCCTTTTTTAGACTGTGCGCCAACAGCCGTGAATTAATCAATCACTTAGCAGTAATGTGTCTGGCGATCTCACGCATAGCTCGTCTGGGCCAGGGTCACTGAGAGTTTTGTTTCTGGAGAACAGAAACCCAGCTGCGCTTTTTAACCAAAGATGTGAAGACCACTTCTACTGGCTATCATCATTTTACGATAATTAAAACAACTTATTATTTGGGTGTTTTTTTTAAAGAAATATTTGTCAGGTGAGGCCATTTAGGTGTCTGTACTCATCCAACATCTGTGCAGCAGACTACTTATCTGCACAAAGTTCATGGGAATGGCTTTTTAGGGGGAAAACATTTGGTCAGTTTTTCTTGTCACGCAGTTTTTATGGACGTCCAAGTTGCTGACAGCTTTTTTTGTTATCAGTATTATTTTCTGCTCATTCCTGTGCATTGAATTTTTATGAGATTTCTTGCTCCTTACACTCTGGTATTTTACTTTTCCAGCTGAGGAGTGTAAAAGAAAATGGAAGAACATGAGAGACAGGTACTTAAAGGAAGTCCGGATGGAGATCAAAAGCAAGAAGCAAGGAGAGATCGTGCAGAGTCGATGGAAGTACAGACAACTCATGAACTTTATCGCACCCTTCACTGGATCGAGAAGCGGAGTGGCGGACATCTGCAGCAACGAGGATGACCATAACAATCCTGACAACGAATCTGGCAGCGCAGAGGGAGAGACCACATCATCTGAAGCAGTAAAGACACTACAGTCTGTCATGAAAACCCCTGCAAGTCAACCTGACCTCAAGCCCCAGGTAGCATTTGTGACGCAGCTCCCCTCAGTGTCTCAAGACGCACAGATGGCCCAGCTGGGTGTTCTGGCTAAGATGCCGTCGAGCCCACAGGTCACACCCATCAGCAAAACTGGACGTAAACGACGCCTGATGCAAGAGTCTCTTTCACTGTCTTCTTCCCAAAGTACACCATCCCCGACAAAATGGCTGGTCAAAGACAATGGCACCTCATTTCCCAACAGGCCGCGGGACGAGGACGAACTGTTTCTCCTGAGCTTCGTCCCTGCACTGAAGCGGCTCGCTCCACAGAAAAGGTGTGAGACAAAAATAAAGATCCAGCAGATTATGTACGAAGCAGAGTTCAACGTTGCACAGCCACAGTCTCAAGAGAAACAGCCGGAGCCGGCAACGCAGGACTAGGCTGCACTGACTATTTTTATACTTTCCTCTGCTTTCTGAAAACCTCTTCCACAAAACGACCAAAATATATTTTTCTTTTTATACGGCACAAAGTGGTTGAGTCTGAAATACATCCTTTATAATGTTAAATAATGAACAATGAAGGAAAACTTAACATTGAGCAAATTGTTGAATTTGTCCAAACCACTGTGGCTTAGTGTGTCTGATTTGCGTATTTATTAGGCTTACAAGAGAATGAAGCCTGAACAGATTGAACAGGACGACAGATAAAGTCTGATTAACAGCTTTATTTACAGTTTTACTGTCAATAGAGGGAATTTACAGTTAGAAAAGTGGGTCATATTTAACCAGCCAATCTTCATTTCAGTAATAATTCTGTAATAATTACAGTATTGTACATTTAATTACAGTGACAGAGAAAAGATGAGACAATTCAATGAGGAACACTGTTTCATAAATTAATATTTTCAACTGCTTACATGCATTAACATATTTTTTTATTGTCATCTAAATAAACAGATGATGTCTAACGTTTTGATTTCACAAAATGTGTGTGATTTTTGGATTTTTTTCTGATGAGACGTAATTTATAAGATCAGGTACAGCTTGATAAAAACAAATTAGTACATGACAGATCAGGGAGACAACATGGAGGAGGCACATGCTAGTATTCAGAGTGTAACTGTATGATACTTTGCAACCTGTTGATGGTCATTTCCATGGAAGACATTTTGATTTGTAACATGTAGGAAAAGCACAGTAGTAAATTTAACGATCAAACTGTCATGGCTTATTGGGACACCTGAATAGAACAGAGCCATCATCAATGTTAGTAGTAACACCTGTGCTTTTCCTGCAATGACCACTCAGTAAGAGAAGGACCAACTGACCAAAATTAATTTCCTATTAAAGCTTTAGGTGAAAGCAGAGAGGCTCAACTTGCTTTGCCCGGGGCCACTTTTGCAAAATGACAGAAGGCCAGTCGCAGGAGATCAGGTGTACGCAGAGGTGTCTCTAGGATTTGAGGACAGTCAGGGCTGAGGGTGAGTGTTTCTGGCACAACTTCACCTACTTCCAAAGTGCATGGAGAGGGGAAATAAGCCAAAGGAGGTCAAAACTTCAGACACACTTTTAGTATTTGGAACGACTTTATTGCATAACCAACATGTTCTGGCTCGTGGCCTTCATCTGAGTCATGATGGCGATGAAAGAGTACGTGTTGGTCTTGCAATAAAGTTGTTCTGAATACAAGTGTTACTGGAGCTTCGATCTGTCTACTATTATTATGCACTCTGGCACATGATCTATATAAACAAAAAAAGTACAAAAGTACAAAAAAAAACAGTGTGACCCATTTTATTTTCATTGTAAATAAGGAAATGGTTGTGAGGCCACCTGGCACCCTATCACGGGTCAGATTTGGCCTGCAGGCTGTAAGTTGAGTATCAGTGGTGTATAGGGTTCAAATAGGGTCACAGGGGCCAAATATAGGCTGAGAGGAAATTATCATATACTACATAAGGTATTAAGAGTGTAAAAGAAAATCCAACCAGAGCACTGATGGTCTTACTTTGTTTAGAAGAGTATATCTTGAAATACAGTGATAGTACTAAAACATTATTCAAAAAAGAGCAGAGAACAATCTCTTCGACTTGCTCTCACCTGAATGAGCTCATGTATGTGTCTGATTAAAAACAACAGTCAGAGCCTGTTTACACCTAGTATAAACATACCTTTTTGTGATCTGAATATAGGTGGACAGCTGAGACACATTCCCATTTACACCTGTGTCTATCATGCGTCTTTTGCTTCTACGTTGCTTACATAAGGTTAAAGGGCCCTGCAGACTATTGTTGCATCCACACTCTCGCTAGCTGCCCAGCAGTCATGTAAGCGGTTGTGTCAGTACAGCTGGACATATCTCTGTCAGCAGTATCAGGATGCATTACCATTTACACTACAAAAGGTAAGTGGTCAAATACGTCCCAGACCACCTCAGCAAATGGTCTGAATAATCAGATCACACTGCGTCCTGGTGGGCGTTTACTGTTGTATTTTGTGTTGTCTGCTTGTGATCCGATCACCCAAGATGCATGTTAATACCAGGTATAAATATGGTCACAGACATGCATGCAGGGAATCAAGCACCGTGAAGTTTGTAGCTGTTAACTGATGCAGTTTTGGTGACATAAATATAATGATAAAAAGAAAAGAAATATGGCGTGCTGCTTTGCAAAGCAACTGTGTTAACAAGTTAAAATGTTAAGCAACCACCTTTACCTTGAAAGTCCTTATCCAGGGAATAACACAGACATCTTTATTTTGGAAAAACCTGTTTCATTTAAATCTCACATGGCTTCATGTCAAGGAGGAAAAAAAAAACACCAGAAAGGTGACAAAATCAAATTATTGCAAACCGTGATGGCGTGCCATTATGTCGCATCTCTGTCGAGTTGTCTCTCCGTGCATTTATGCAATCAGCAGCCAAAACATAATCACCAGAGCAACAAACAGGAAGAGTCGAGACAGAAACTGTTCGTCCATGTGCTGCGGTGTCCCGGGAGCCGCTGTTTGGGAAATCATTTAACAGGTTATTTAACATGTATTTGATAATAGACACAGTGATCGTGGTGAATAATGTAAAACATAAATACCTGGAGGAGGTCTGCCATCATTGATGTTAAAAGCTGTTGCAAAAATACCAAATGGAAAGGCACCGATTCCAAACGACATTTGGAAACCCCCATCTCCAAAGCCAAACCCTTGGAAGCCCTGTGGAACATGCATTTCATCTTTAACATGAGGACGTGTGGATTCTCTTAATGTCTAGCTATACATTCATCTGAGGTACACTTTAACATTGAGCAGGTGAGATGTGACGCAACAGCGAGTGAAATTTGTGATCATTCCCAAGAGACGTCTCTATACCGCTGCGCTTAGCATCTAATAGATCCCAGTGGGAAATATTCTTTTGTTAATGAATAAAACACAGGTTTGCACTACAGCACCTACATCATCCTCGGTAATGGTTTCATCATGAATGCATAATGTTACTCAACAGCTGACATTGGAAAATTACATACATGAAGTCATGAAATCATATGCTTTTACAATGCAAGTGTACTTGTACAAAATACTTACACCACGGTTTTCTGGCTCAGGCCTTTGCCCCTGTGGTCGAGGAGGTGTTCTTTCTCTATAAATCAAAACAACATGGTGTAAAAGCCATCCTCATTTTTAAGTTTTACATTGTGTGTATTGTAGTTACGTAATACATGACGTTTAGAGTCAGCCTGACCCACCTGGGGTCTTGTTGACCCGTGCTTCCCCGTCCATACAAGGGGATAACTTTGTCTCGGCTGATGCCTGCTTTACACACTGGACACACTTGTCTGTTGGGTCTGGTCTCCAACCACTGTGGACAGACAAAGAGATACTAAAGCTCTAACTGTCTGCCTTAGTTATATACTACCTCTTATCATGCACTGTCATTTGAATATAGCAAAGAAGGAGAAAACAGGTTCAGCTTACCTGATGCAAGCAAGGCCAACTGAAATAGAACAGGTGCACAGAGAGGAGGTATGATTAGTAAAACATTATATGCATACTAAAACCATATTACTGTGCAAAATATACATTTACTTAAGTGTGACATTAACATACTGTGTTCACAAATGAAAATGATTAATTAGTTAAAGCTTTTATAAAGAAAAATGGCTTCCTGCTTTGGGATTTAACTTCTTTTTGATAATGACTAACTAAATTGGCACTGTGACCACTGATATCAGACCAGATGCTGAAGCCCTGACCTGTGCTGACTGGACACACGTTGGCAAGAGTTGCATGTGAAGGGGTGGACTTGGCTACCAATGCTGGAAAGCTTTTATGGGACTGACCAAGATGATGAAATCAAAATATGTTTGCTTGCACATTTAATATGTTGTGCACACTAGCAGCTCTAGGCTTGTATTTACAGATTATACTTTTATAGAAGTAGGCTTACACTTTGTAAACATTACACCAGCAATATTAAGTCATCCCCAAATTTAAGTATTATCATAGAAAGCCTGGTGGTTTACATCATGACTATTACTGTTAGATTACAGGGAAATTCCACAAATTACATCAGCAACATGACTGATGATGGTTGTTCAAGACTAATATTGGCCAGTAGTATGTTTGCCAACAGTCCAGTGTATGCCCAGCTCATCTCTTGTTCAGTAATATGAGAAGTACGATTAGCTGGACTGATCTGGGTCTGCCCCTAATACCCTAACTGAGGTTGGTAATAACTCATAACTGTACACAGGAGTCACAGACAGTAGCTCTTACCAGAAGAGGTGTCCACACAGGCTGATGACTGCATCCTTTGCCGTGTCCAGACATATATTACACTCAAAAGTGCTGTCCTGGTTGCCACTGTCGGCCGCAGTCGAGCTGCTGGCTCCGGGACTTGTGTTTTCAGTGGCCGCAGCAGCAGGGCCAGCGGCTGGAGGGGGGGCGGCGGTGGCCATTTAAAGATAGATCCACTCAGCGAGAGGGTTCAGGTGGGGGGACTCCGCTGGCAGCCAGCGCCTCAAAGTAAGTACATAGGGAGGCCCAGTGGGTGGGGATGTGGGGCTAACAAAGAGGAGAAGACGCTACAGGAAGTTTCAAAAAAATAACTCGTAAAAAAGGAGTGATATCGAAGAAAGTCCAGCGGCTGCTAGCTAGCTAGCTCCCATGTAGAAACGGTTACGGAGTTGCTAACGTTAGCACACGAAGAAGACTGACAGTTCAACCGTGTGACGGTTTAACTGAATACAAAGCGACGAACAACAAATACGACAGCGTTAATCCAAACTGTCGTCAGAACGTAATTTTTTAACTAAAAAGCAAAACTTGTTGCGATAAGTTAAGAAATATCCCCGCTGTTTGTTACATCACGCATCTGCAGCACTAATGTTGACGTTAACCGGTAGTAGATCCTGAGGAGGAGGCAGGGGGCGTGGCCACTATGTTCACTGGAATTTTGCTGCCCTCAGTCAGGCCTATCAGGTGCCTACGACAAGAGGCTCCACCAATCAGGCACCAGTATTATGTATAATCATAATAATAATAATAATAATAATAATAATAACAATAATAATAAAGTAGTAATTATGATAATAATCATATATTATTATTATTATTTATTATCTATTACTATTATAATTTATGTTAAACTGAATATATACATCTGTAGTGTATATTTGGAGGAACTTAGAGTTGTTATATATACAATATTATTATATTGCACTCTGCAACTTTGCACTATTGTCCAACTGTTTACAGACTTCACTGTGTTGTTGTCTATGCCTATATGTATATATATATATGTATATACAGTACAGGCCAAAAGTTTGGACACACCTTCTCATTCAATGCGTTTTCTTTATTTTCATGACTATTTACATTGTAGATTCTCACTGAAGGCATCAAAACTATGAATGAACACATGTGGAGTTATGTACTTAACAAAAAAAGGTGAAATAACTGAAAACATGTTTTATATTCTAGTTTCTTCAAAATAGCCACCCTTTGCTCTGATTACTGCTTTGCACACTCTTGGCATTCTCTCGATGAGCTTCAAGAGGTAGTCACCTGAAATGATTTCCACTTCACAGGTGTGCCTTATCAGGGTTAATTAGTGGAATTTCTTGCTTTATCAATGGGGTTGGGACCATCAGTTGTGTTGTGCAGAAGTCAGGTTAATACACAGCCGACAGCCCTATTGGACAACTGTTAAAATTCATATTATGGCAAGAACCAATCAGCTAACTAAAGAAAAACGAGTGGCCATCATTACTTTAAGAAATGAAGGTCAGTCAGTCCGGAAAATTGCAAAAACTTTAAATGTGTCCCCAAGTGGAGTCGCAAAAACCATCAAGCGCTACAACGAAACTGGCACACATGAGGACCGACCCAGGAAAGGAAGACCAAGAGTCACCTCTGCTTCTGAGGATAAGTTCATCCGAGTCACCAGCCTCAGAAATCGCAAGTTAACAGCAGCTCAGATCAGAGACCAGATGAATACCACACAGAGTTCTAGCAGCAGACCCATCTCTAGAACAACTGTTAAGAAGAGACTGCGCGAATCAGGCCTTCATGGTCAAATAGCTGCTAGAAAACCACTGCTAAGGAGAGGCAACAAGCAGAAGAGATTTGTTTGGGCCAAGAAACACAAGGAATGGACATTAGACCAGTGGAAATCTGTGCTTTGGTCTGATGAGTCCAAATTTGAGATCTTTGGTTCCAACCGCCGTGTCTTTGTGAGACGCAGAAAAGGTGAACGGATGGATTCCACATGCCTGGTTCCCACTGTGATGCATGGAGGAGGAGGTGTGATGGTGTGGGGGTGTTTTGCTGGTGACACTGTTGGGGATTTATTCAAAATTGAAGGCACACTGAACCAGCATGGCTACCACAGCATCCTGCAGCGACATGCCATCCCATCCGGTTTGCGTTTAGTTGGACGATCATTTATTTTTCAACAGGACAATGACCCCAAACACACCTCCAGGCTGTGTAAGGGCTATTTGACCAAGAAGGAGAGTGATGGAGTGCTGCGGCAGATGACCTGGCCTCCACAGTCACCGGACCTGAACTCAATCGAGATGGTTTGGAGTGAGCTGGACCGCAGAGTGAAGGCAAAGGGGCCAACAAGTGCTAAACACCTCTGGGAACTCCTTCAAGACTGTTGGAAAACCATTTCAGGTGACTACCTCTTGAAGCTCATCGAGAGAATGCCAAGAGTGTGCAAAGCAGTAATCAGAGCAAAGGGTGGCTATTTTGAGGAAACTAGAATATAAAACATGTTTTCAGTTATTTCACCTTTTTTTGTTAAGAACATAACTCCACATGTGTTCATTCATAGTTTTGATGCCTTCAGTGAGAATCTACAATGTAAATAGAAGAAGAAAGAAAACGCATTGAATGAGAAGGTGTGTCCAAACTTTTGGCCTGTAATATATATATATATATATATATATATATATGTACAGTAGTCAAATTTTTCCATTAGTCAAGTGTTGAAAGTTGACCTTGCTCATATTTGTTGTCCTTGTTTTTAGTTGTATGTCTATTTTGTATACGTACATTGAGAGCAACAAAAGACCACACTCAAATTCCTTGTAAGTGCACATATATTGGCCAATAAAGCAGATTCTGATTCTGAAAATGATGAGCTAAGTTAGTCTTAGTTCTGTGAGTGATCCAGATTTAGCTAGCTAACCCTCTACACATGAACAGAACTTTTATAACAATATATATGTATATATATATATATGTATATTAATGTGTTTTTTTAATCTAACCAACTTTCTCCAAAACTTAGCCTTACAGAGTAGAAGTTTAAGAGTGTGACAAACAGATTTACATCATGATATATGAAAAGGACACGAGTGAAAGTTATTGCTCACCCAACTTTGCTGCTTTGAGTTCCCTCCCCCAAAATAATATCACTTCCTGAAAATGGCTTCAGTAGAATTGTAGCCTTTGTTTGCTTGTTTTTGCGAAAGCGTTAAAGTACTAACTAACTGACTGACTTTAGGGACACACAGTAAATAATAATAATAATAATAATTTTTATAATAATAATAATAATAATAATAATAATAATAAAAAATTGATGATAAGTCGTCACCATGAGCTATTTCTTTCTCATATTTTTCCCCACTGTTAATATAGAAATACAAAGAAGCACAGGTGTGATATGTTTTATTAACTTTAAAATAAAACAAATAAAATATTCAGCAGTTCTGCTTGCTACGAGTGCTACATTTAATCAAAGACAGAAGTTTAAATCAAAGGGAACAGAATAAAGTTACAACAATGTTAGTACATCATTCATTTGTTCACTTTCCTTTTGAAAATGTAAATATGCATCTAATACTGATAATAGGATTAAGATTAAAAGTACTTGGTTTTCAAGAACATCTAATATAGGGCCACATGAATATTTCAACTCAATTCGCTCATGATCAGCCCAACCAAATTAGAATATATTGTAAATGATGATGAATTCGATTCAAAATACTGTCCTGCAGTGGCTAATTTGGGGCTGACTGGTTTACAAACGTACTAACACAAGCAATTCATTCACACTCATGAAAGCAATCTAAAAATAATATATTTTTACAAGTTACAAGTATTTATACAAGTTGAAAGACATAAGATGTTAAAATGACTAAATGCAATCATTGTGTCATGCAAAATTGATATTGTGACATTTGAGATTTTATCATCATTATAAATAAATTATTGATGCATATATAAACAATATATATGTCTGAGGTAAAACATGCCATGACATATGATTCTGTCAACGTCACCCAGCTCTATTATCTGTGGCGCTACCACCACCTCGCAAAAATAGTCTAAAATAATTGGAGAACTCTATGTGGTGTTTTTAAAATTGCTTGTTCCTGTTATTTTTTTGTTCCTTCCTTGTTCTTTTTCTAATAAAGCTGTATTTGTCCTTTAAAGGAAAAGGACAACCAGCTTATTTGAAGAACAATAAATCATCTAAGACATGTTTTTACAGGTGAATAACACATTAAAACCAAATTTCTGTGGAACTAAAAATGTTAAGTGTACTGGTATGAGACATTGCACATCAGATAATTAACATTGACGGTAAAACAGGAAACCATATCAGTACGCGATCTCTTAACTCTTACACTGACATATTTTTTAACTAGCCTGTTAACTACAGCAGCATAATTGAAATCCTGAAATTCAGTTATGGCTTTTGGTTTTGGCCCCATCTGGCTACCTCTGTGAACATTTTCTGGGGGTGCACTGCTATAATAATGTTCTGTACAGTGAAATACTGTTTGTAATTGATGACAAAGGTTTCAACTTGATTTTAGATTATTTCCATCTGCTTAGACCTTGAGTGATTGAGACCACCTGTGCGGAAATCCTCTGCCATTGCGTCCTCTATCCTTGATTTCAAAGACTTTCTTAGGATTTGTTTAAAGTCATTCCCAATGAACACATAGAGCACTGGGGTGATGAAGCTGTTTGCTGCAGCCAGGGTGGCCCCCACCTTCAGGCCAGTGTGAAGTACCTCCACGCGGTGGTTCTCCACATCTGACTCTAACAGAACAAAGGTATGATAGGGGACCCAGCAGAAGAAGAACGTCAGGATGAGCGCCGCCATGACTTTGTAAGGCTTGGTTGACTTGATGGTTAAAGTTCTCAGCTTCACGCAGAGCACCGTGCTGCAGACGACTATCACAAGGAAAGGAATCAGGAACCCCCAGATGAATCGAGTCAGTACCACTGCCATGTGTATGGAATGGCTCATGTAATTGGTGTGGCACTGAGTGACAGAGCCGTGGACTGTGGTTTGTCTGAAGAGCAGTGAGGGAAACGTTAGAAGGGCAGAAAAGACCCACATAAGCACAACAATCCCAGATGCTTTCGGCACTGTCCGGTGGTTATGTGCCCAAACGGGAAACAAAATCAATACACAGCGGTCAGCACTAATGAGAACTAAGAGAAACACACAGCTGTACATGTTGAGAAACAGAACAGAGGAGGTGAGCTTGCACAAGACCAGTCCGAAAGGCCAATGTGAGGTGATCATGTAGAATACTTCCAGGGGCAAAACGGCACAGAACAAAAAGTCTGAAATGGCCAGACTGATGTACCAGGTGGTGATGACCGTTCTTTTCATTTTCCATCCACAGACCCAGATCACTAACGAATTTCCTCCAAGGCCAACAACAGATATAAGAATATTGAGTGCCACCAGAACATGTGTCAGAGATGACTGAGGAGTACTGAAAGTCAGCAGTCCAGTTGTGGTGACGGTGGTGCTCTCTGTTTCATTGTCTGGGGTGTAATCGCCATATTCAATATAATCCACATCCATACTGGTTACCTTTCCTAAAACATGAAGCACAGAGTCCTTATTTAGAAACACATTTACATATAACATTTCTTTATCAAGACAATATATTACAGTAAAGTTCATGATACAGTATAATACAGTATATTATAATATAGTTTAGTGTATAAATGGACTCAAGTACTCACGTTATGTCTCGACACAGAAGCAATCACTTGAAAGTGCTTTCTTCCCTAGCTGCAGGAGGCAACTTCTCACTTCTGTTTCCTGGGCTGTGTTAGTGACGAAAGATGAATCAAAATTAATATGTCATGGAACAAGTGAGAATACGCCCTCCTCTCACTTACCGAAAACATACTATTTTGTGTTTTTGGATGAGAACCTTTTCAGCTGTTGGAGTGAGTTCATTTGGCCAAAGAGGTCAAAATAACTGAATAAAGTTATTTTATTACTGTGATGTGTTTATACGGGTATTTCAAGTCTTACAACAGCCTTTAAGCACACTGTTGCAGTATCACAGAGGAGATCCCCTCCACACAACCACAAAAATAGGCATCAACTCACATTCCTTAACCAAGGTTGTGTCTTTAAACCATTTCACCAGAAGTGCAGTGTTCAAGGGTCATTTTCTGTTGTAGTTACTGTTTTTGTTGTACCTCGGAGGGAATTATTGATTTTTTTAACTACACATCTGTAATAAAAAATGGATAAATGTCAAAAATAAAAATGTCATTAGCATTAAAAATTTCTGCCAATTTCTGGCAGAACTCCCAGTGTCTCAATTATGCTCATATCATTAAGAAAAAATAAACCACAAATGTTTGAGGTAATGACCATGCACTTTGACCAATAAACCATTGCGCACATCTGTTTCCTGCTTGCTTTTAAAACCAAATTTGTCATTTGGGAAAATAAGAAATTCAAATCAATTAGAAGTCACCTAAGAAAAGAATAATAGCATCTTATTTTTCACTACTGATAATAGCACTGTGTGTGTTGTATCTTTAATAACAACATACTAACAGCAGACCAGTCTTTCAGATGACTGAGAGAGCCAGTTCAGCATATGGCAGGAAGAGGAAGTTTTCGTCTTGCACATCATAGACCTTTAACTCAGTTTTTCGTCCCACATTTTACATTGACTGTTGTCATGCAGTTTGGGGAACTGTTCCCCAAAAATCACATGATGCAGGTTTTGTAACGGAGAAAAGCTGAGCAAATTATTTTCTGTCAAAGAAAAACCACAAGCCGTCTGACCAGCAAATCTGTAGCATTCTGGTAAACAGTCCGTTGCAGCCATATCATTATAAGAACCCCATTCTGACTGTCCTTTGCTTTATATGACTTTTCAGCTCTGGTGGAAGAAGCATTCAGATCCTTTACTTAGGTAAAAGTACAAAAAACCACAAGATACAAAATACTTAATTGTATTTAGAAGTTCTACATATTCAATTTAAATGGTGAATTATAAGCACTGAAATATACTTAAGTACCAAAAGTAAATCTCATTATACTCTGATACCATGATGTATGCAGTGTTACTGTGTTTCTATTACTGATGCCTTCATGTGTAATTCAGGTTGAGCGAATCTGAACTACTATAAATGGTCATTTGGTAGTTTATGGTGGTGAAAAGTAACATACATTAAAGTGCAAGTGCTGTACCATTTTTGCATATTTATACTATACCTGAGAATTAAAGATGCCACCTTGGACTGTGGGAAGTTGGGGAGGATCTTTTTTTTTTTTTTTTGGATATTTTGGGTAATTCCTGTTATGAAGCAACATTTCTGTCACCATAAATAATAAATTCCTCATATTTTCTTTGAAATGTATATATATATATAATAAATGGCTTAAATTATAGATTAGGGTCTTCTTTATCGCACAAACACAGAAAAGGTCATTTTACATTAGTGACCTTTTTGGTACATGTGTTCAATTTTTATCATGTACCCTGTGCAAAGTAGTCAACTTCTACATGAACCATAAACCATAAAGTTATGAAATACTCAAAATGTGATTTAAATATTTTGAAGGCCACTTTCAACTCTCTCTGATTGTATATATTGTGTGTATTAGGAGAAACTAAGAGTTGTCATTGTTGTTATTATTGTGTCATTTTCATAACTTACTGTGTGTCCCTGAAGTCATTTTCAGTTAGTTGCTAGTTTTTAGCCTAAACCCCAAACAAGCAAATAATAAAAGACCACAATTTCGTCGAGGCCATTTTTAGGAAGCGACCTATTTTGTTTGGAGGGATTTCAAAGGAACAAAGTTGGGTGAGCAATAACTTTCACTTCTTTTTCATGATGTTAATCATGTCACACTCTCAAACTTCCGCCCTCTTTTGTTGCTCTCAATGTACACATACAATATAGACATACAGCAGGTAAAAACAAGGACAACAACGCTGAACAAGGTAAACTTTGACTAATATAAACATTTGACTACTATGTACAGGTATAACCATATAGATGAAAGTGTGTATACATACGTATATGGAGAACACAGTCGGACAATAGTGCAGATGTAGAATGATAAATGTAACAGGTTGCCTGCATACATGAGGTAGGTGGATATGACATGTAGTGTATGCAGCATGTGTGGATTATATTTGACAGATTTACAGTGTGTATTTAGATTATAAATAAATAAATCAATAAATAAATATAACTTACTGGTAAAGCCGATGCCTGGTGTTACCAGGTTATTCCACACAGATGTTCCTGACGCTATGGACTGGCGTTAGGTGTTCATCATAGTGACAACCTGTGGAAACAAACTGTCTTGGCGCACAGTGTTCTATAGCCTAACAGAGAGGAGAAGTTGAAACAGGTTGTGGTCTGCAGTGATGTTAACCTGACAGTTTCCTGACTCTGGGGGTGTGTTAGTCCTGAATGGAGGACAGACATGCAACAATGTTTTTTTACCCCTGCAGTCCTGACAGTATAATGTAGTCTGTTCCTGTCCTGTCTGGTGGCTGCTCCAACCACACAGAATTGCACCAGCAGTTCCTAGGACAGGTTGAACTTTCTGAACAGGAAGTAGATCCTCTGCTGCTGGGCCTTTTTCCTGATGGTGTTGACGGTGGACGTCCACTTTAGATCCTGGGAGATGGTGGATCCCAGAGACCTGAAGAATTCCACAGCAGACACTATATTGTTTAATATGGGAAAGAGGGGAGCAGTGCTGGAGGGCCATCCTCAGATGGTATACACAGGTATACAGGGTATACCCACTTCTTAGCCACAAAGCCATTACATGGTAAAGTATACCCACTTCCTCCTTGGTAACCTGCCTACCTACTAGTAGTACATCCACCTCATCAGCTACACCACTGCTTATCCTGAAGTCACCTCCACAGTTTTTAGAACACTCAGCTCCACCAAGGTCTGTAGACCAATAAAAACCAGTCCACTCATCACATAAGGATTATTATTGAGGGCCAGAAATTGTCCAACACGCTTTCCTGACAGTTCAACATGTCACAGTTCTTATATGATTAAAAAAATAAGTAAATATATAAAAATCAAAACAAAACAAAATCAAAGTTTTGAGGCTGAAATGTTGCTGCATAACATAAATGACCCTGTTGTAGACTGAATGATTAATTTAAAACAATGAAAGATTGATAGAGCCTACTGAAAATCATAGTTAATTTTAATTTCAATTTTCAACTTTATGTATAAAGCCCAATAGAGACTCCAAAACCACAGATAACCCTTTATTCTCTGAGCATATATAGTGTTCAGGTGGGAAAATAAGGTACTATGAGCTCTTAGATATCACATCATATTGAAGTAAATGTACAGCCTTACTTGAAATAAAATGTTTTGAAACTGGTTTACTGAATGTTCACCATGACTTTCTTATGTTATGAAAAGACGTTGATGTCATTTCAACTGGGCATGCGCAGATATGATTGTCTTAGCCACGCCCCTGTCCGTGACGTAGTGGACTCGAGGCTTTTAATAAGCTCGCCTTTCAAACTGCGCCATATCTATTGACGATCAACATGGCGGGTCCTGTGGCGAAGAAATGTCTCAGCCCTCTGTCCTTCCTCACCAGGAGGCTGTCTGCTCCGGAGTTCATCACCCGGTGCTGCTACCACAAGAAGGTAAAACATTTAGTCTGTTATAGCTTCAACGTTACAGAAGGAGGCCGGGTCACCGTGAGCTAGCTGCTGTCAGGCTAATGTTTACTAATGTTTATTAGCCCTGAGTAGTTACAGCTTGATAACAGCATCATGAGGAGGTTACAGTGTTGACATGGCTCGGGTAGTTAGATGAAAGTGGTTAACCTGGTAGGGTTAACCACAATATGTAATATGCCTGCTGTACAAATGTCCTAAATACATGTTACATCAGTCTGCTGTCATGTGGATTAGCCTATAACGTTATATCTCAAACAAAAAGAAGTGTAACCAGAAGACCAGCTAATTAAACGCCAGCATGTTAAAACTAATTTTATTTGTGTCTTGCTAGCTTGCCAGTTAATTGAAGACGTCACTAATCTGCCCATCAGATGGCCACTGCTTTAATACTGCAATCACATCCGATTAATAAGCTTTAAGCAGTGTGCTAGAAACCTGTTAATGCTTTGTTATAACGTTATACCTGTGGAAGGATGCTGTATTTTTACACAACAGCAATATCCAGATGTTCATTGTAAGTTTCATTATGTGATGTGATTGTCTGATGCAACATGGAGACACAGGGTCGATGATGTTCAAATTAAGTTGGACACAGATGCTGGTAAACAGAGGTGGCTCTCTCTTAATGTTTGAATGATTTAAAACTGAATATACCTTTTTATTGAAATGCTTCTTTAGTTTTTGAAGTGCCTGGCTTTAAATTTGACATCCCATTTGGCTGAACTGTTGTGTATTTTTCATCCTTTGGAGATGTACATCAGAATGTTCCTTAAGAAGCTTTAATATCATAAAGAGATTTATTTTACCTATTTTATTGTATACCTTGAAACTTGTTTTAAAAAGCTGAAAGATGATAAATATGTGGATAATTCAATTTTGAGAACTCACAGACATAAACACACAAACTGTTCATACTATAATGTTGAATTTGTGTATTACATGCTGTCCTTTTTAGAATATTTTGTGATATAAACTCAGCCACCTTGTATTGTTCAAGTCACAATGACTCGGCAGAAACCAGGGGGAGGGGGCAGGATGCAGCAGTTGATTTAGTTGACAATGAAATCCGGTCCTAATCTGTTTATTTCAATGTCTCTTACGTAATGGTGAAAACTTGGAGTTGTATAACCGTGATGCTCAAGACGTCTAGACTCCTTTTTGGATAGTGTTAAAACACAAAAAGCCTCCCAGGATGCTGGAGTTTATTTACTTTCCCAAATTTATGTTTCTATTGTGAAATATTTTAAACAGTGTGTTAGAATCCACTTAGACACATTGTTTTTGTCCTAACACAGTGTTTCCTTTCTTCTCTGTCTGAAGGTGGTGGATCATTATGAGAACCCGAGAAATGTTGGCATACTGGACAAAAACTCCAAGAATGTTGGGACTGGCTTGGTGGGTGCTCCAGCCTGTGGAGATGTAATGAAGCTCCAGGTATGTTTGTCACTAAAAATGGATGGATTGCACTCTTATTTTTTATACACGCAGAGCCATTAAGACTGAATTATAGTAACACCATAGTTTAGCTTTGCCATAAAGCATTTTTTCCCATGTTATATTGCAGTTTACTTGAACAGGAACAAGAATAGTTATTTTAATCCAGTGGTTGAAAATGAAATGGTCTCTAGTGATGTTCCTGATTGGTCGACATTAGACAGTGCTACCCTTGCTACCCAGCACTAGAAATACTAGTCAGTTAATCTTATTATTTAAATTATTATTATTTAACTAAGAAAGTAAATATTGTTTTGTTTAGTGAGTTATTGTCATGTTTTGTAGGATAATGTGCAATGTTCATAATGCATGACGCAAAGTGCCACACATTTCAGTGGCATGTATAATACAATTTTATTATTGAATAATATGATAAATGATTTCAAATGGCTCTTATGATATAAACAATATTTTTCCGGACAATGTTTAACCTTATAGATTAAATTGTGTTAAATTTTGACTGTTTTCTGAGTGTTTTCTTATTTTAAGACTATTCAACTTGTCTAAGTTTAAACTTCAATTTACACATCATGAAAAATTAGTCATCAGGAACATCCCTAATGGTCACAAATTTCTCAAAATTGGACTTATTCTTCCTCTGGCATTTGAGTAAAACTCTAAAAAAACTCTCATTTTGACAGATTGAGGTGGACGACCAGGGGAAGATTGTGGATGCCAGGTTCAAAACTTTTGGCTGCGGCTCTGCGATTGCCTCCAGCTCTCTGGCCACCGAGTGGGTGAAGGGCAAATCTGTGAGTGAACACATTACAGATCTTTCGCTGCCTCTTGGAGTGTGTCATGCATGGCTTTACTTATTCTTATTTATTCTGCTCTGCTTATCTCTTATCGTTGACTGGAAAGGTTCCTGTGGTTATTTGAGCTATGTGCTTTTCTTTGCAGGTGGACGAAGCTCTGACAATAAGGAACACTGACATTGCCAAAGAGCTGTGTCTTCCACCGGTTAAACTTCACTGCTCCAGTAAGTTTTCAGTGAAACGTTCTGACAGTGTTCTTTTCCAGACAGCTCCACACATGTATTTAATGTATTTTATTGTTTCTCCTCAGTGCTTGCGGAGGATGCCATCAAGGCTGCCTTGGCTGACTATCGCCTCAAGCAACAGGACCACCAGCAGGAGGCAGTCAGGGCCAGCAACTAAACAGAGCCCTCTCACTCTGAGCTGGAAGCCACTGTTTCCCTCCTGCTGTCAAGATGAGAAGTAGCAGTAGTCCAGCACCCTCACATTCCTGCAGTGTTGATGAGGCACACCTAATATGTTGATAACCAGCACACTATCGTCAATCCTCTGTAGCTGTGTTACACCAGGTGTCATGTATTAGTCTGTGGTCCTCCTGCCCTGTATTTAGCCTGTCACGTAAACGCACAATGTTAAAGCACTGTTTGGGCTGTTGGTACAGTGGTGAGCCTTACTTTTGAGACTGTTATATTTTAAGATGTTTTGCTTGAAGAGTTTAAATGGTGTGATGGAGATATTGATGAAAGCTCAGAGCTGTATCCTATCCGCACCCTAAGCACTGACCTTTTGATATGCAACCTAGCAACGTGGCTTGAAACAATAAAAAGGGTCCACTGGTTTTAAGTGTAATTTATGATTATGTAGTCATGCTTCCTTGACAAGTCTGCAATAAAAGTATCCTGAAACCAAAGCTATTCTCAGGAAGTGGTTTTCTACACTTGACTAATCTTAAACATGCAAATACATATCTGGAAAACACTTGTCGATTAGTGTGTTGCATTTGAGTACAGATGTTTGGGGACCATACCACAAAGTGTTTACTGAAGTGTGAAGAGAGACACACTGAGCAAGCTGCTGTCTGTCACACAAACCACCACAGATCAAGTCACTGTTTTGCAGGTCACAAGCAAGTCTTTGCACTTACGTCTCAAGTCAAGACAAGCAAGTTCCAAGTCTTTAACTTTGAGTTTCTAGTCTTAAACAAGTCATAATGCACTCTTCACCAAATGTAATGCCATTTAAACAACAATAATGATTATTTAAATTACAAAAATCATGAAGGCTTTTTAACAAGTTTGTTAAGACAAGTGCAACTGAATTTAAACATAAGAAAATGGTTCTGACACTTCATTTTAAGATGGCACTATTAACCACCACAGCAGCAGAATGAGTTTTTAGCGTTTCTGTCCTGTCTCGCTGCATTTAACTCACCTCATATTCGAAAAATGTCTGTAACTTCCTGTTCTCAAATTGGGCTGGGGAAGGTGTCAAGTGAAAACAATCAAGTCCGTGCATATTCATGAGTCATTGGTGTTAAAGTCTATGTTGAGTTGCAAGTCTTTTTTGATTTAAGTTGACTCTAAAGTCCTCGAATTTTTGACTGTGGTCTGACTCAAGTCCAACTTGTGTGATTCGAGTCATACCTCTGCAAAACATCCCATAAAAAGAAATATATTTTGTACCAGATGCTAATAATGTTACTCTATTCATGTTTATAATATGGCATGAAAGATGCAACCAGTCTGAGCAAAGCAACCACCTGCACTGAATGCACTGAATATAAAAATATAATACTGAAAAAAAGGGGAAAAAATACACCTGTGGTTGGTATTTAGCGTCTTATCTGCATTTCCCTTCATACATCTGTCGTGTTTTTTTGTAAACGTATGCACAAATTGCCACTCATGGATTCAAAGCGTTCAAAAAATACATTCAGCTGACAGTGTTCGGAGTATTAGAAGGCAGTTTTCTCTCCTGCGATCAGCTGAAGTGTAGCAGAGTCACTGTGAAGATGCAGAGAGGCGGGCCGCAGACTGCTGCCCATTAAAGGCTCTTGTGAATCATCCTCTCCTGGATGAGGCTGCTCTGGAGTCTCCAGCTCAGGGCTTCCTGTTGCTGCTGCTGCTGCTGTTGCTGCTGCTGTTTCACTGTCAGAGTGCTCACACAGCTCCTTTTCCTCAGGGAGACTTGGTAGCTGCTGGTCCAGGATGTTGCCATCTGGCTGAGGGCCGTCCTCAGGACTGTTCTCTGCTACTTTCTGACCGGGGTCGCTTACCTCTGCAGCATCCACACATTTATTTGGTGTGCGCAGCCTCTTGGCAGCCCTCATTATGTCTGCCTGGAGCTGCCTGTGAGAGTCTACTGGCTCACTTTCCTGCTCAGGAGCGGGTTTTTCTGGCACTTCATTAAAGAGTTTAGCACCTCCGGTTTTGTCCCTGTGGTCCACGTACATTTTTGAGGGAAAAGAGGAAGGGTAGTAGGCATTGACTTTGCGCCTGCGGCTCATGATTATTGCCCCACAGATGATAAGGAAGACAAGAAGGATGAAAGAGCCTGCAACGAGTATAAGCAGCATGTTCTCCTCCAGGAAGTCCACGACTTGACTCAGAAAGTCAGTTTCCACATGAGTGGGGCTGGCAGGTGTGGTTTGGTACTCAAAGGAAAGGTTGCTGGTGGGCAGAGGGGAAGTTAGGTTACTGAGCTCTTCCTCGTCTGTACTTCCCTCTAGCAAACTGTAAAAAGGTAGCGGTGTGGCCAAGCTGCTGCTGATGCTGGTGCAAAACACCACACACAGACCGGTCAGATGAAGGGCCATCGGGAGCATGGTTTCCCTCAGGATCTGTAAATAACAGTAGACGTTAGTCACTGAAATGTTTTTGCCATATGTGAAGACCGTCTCATGTATTGCCTTTGACATGTGAGAGCTAAACATCTGTTTTTCTGAAAAATAAAAATCTGGTGATCTGTACTGGAGGTATTTTCTGAATCATCAAAGACTCCCTGTACATCTGGATATAAAAATATTCCATGGAGGCCAGGATAACGTATGTCCATGCTCATGAAACACATGAAACAAACATATAAATATGTTTTGTTATCAGTTATATTTCTCTACATAGATTTTATACTGTATTATATAATGTTTTTCTATGTTTAACATTGTCACAAATTGGAAATGGGTTAAAAAATAATTGTTTTATTGTGCAGCAGACAGAATATTCTGGCATCCAGTCGGACAGAAGACACTTATGGGTAGAAATTTCTTTGTCCCCCTGCCAATAAAAACATGAAAGTAGCAGAGGGCTTTTATTGTGACATAATTTAAGGCATTTCCACCATAAACTGATGCAGAAAATGCACAAATTACTGCATAAAAATTCCCCAGAATGCAGGAAATTACCCCCCAAACTGATGCCGAAACAAAAGCTAAGCCCTTGGTAATGCACATGGGTCTCGTACACAATCCTGCTGAGAAGCAATGATCCATTTGGTGAAACTTCCACTGTACTGTATCAGCTGAGTTCCTGCAAGTTCAGCTGATTGTACCAAAACCAAAATCTTCCCCAGGAGGCAGTCTTTGCTGATTCACCACAAAGTTAAATACGCTGGCTTTATCCCAGCCTGAATCATGGCCTGAAGTTTTTGCTCATTCAGATGAAATGAGGCTATGGAACACACATACTGCACAGTATCAGCAAACCCAGAGCATAGAGTTGAACAGCAGAGGTGTAGATTTTGGGGGGAGGGCATCCTGCATTTCTCCCCCTCGGTAAAAACATGAAAGATAGAAATAAAGAAAGATATTTGCACTCTAAACTGATGAATTGACACATAAAAAGTCACTGGAATACAAGAAATTAAGGGTTCGATGCTCACAATTTTCTGGCAGAGGATGCCTAAACCTCCATTTCATATGTGTCCCCCATTAAACGGCCCTTGAATGGCCCTTTGTAAGTAAAATCATAGTTTTAAGTTCCCCTAGTGGTACAGACATCTCTAAAAAAGGAAACAAAACCATAAATGCATGGCCAGATACGACAAGGAGTACATGGGAAAATATGTTTTTTCCTCTTATTTGGATCACAATCAGCTCTCTGCACGGTCTGTGTGTCAGCTGGCAGCAGCTCCCACACTTCTATCCTTATTCTGCTCCATCTGTGTGCAAGCTGGACCACATGAGACTCCGCTCTCATCGAGGAAAAAGGAGGAGGGATGTTTCTTTTTTTGTGTTTCAGAATTAATGGCTCAGCCCAGACCAAATACACATGGCCACACATGCCTTTGCAACCAGACACAGGCGGTCGTATGCACACACACATACACACATGGACTAAATCTTCACTCAGCAAAAAGTCCTGTGACCTAGATTCAGCCATCGCTCCCAACCTGAGAATATTTCTAAACTTTTAATAGTCATGTTCTGACTTCCTGAGGCTGGATGCTGCTCTGAAGGCATCATGATGCTGTCACATCAGCCACTTCAAATTGACATGTGAACTTACATCAAGCAAACATCCAAATGCCTCCTGAGTGTGCAAAAACTCTGTGAAAACATTTTACTCACCATCCACTGCAGAAGAAGTGTCTGTGTTGGACTCGCCTCTGATGGAGGATGTGTGAGAGCAGTCTGGAAAAAGTGAACTGAGAGAGAGCACAGAAAAAGAGTAGCAAATGCTCGGCGAGGCCACGCCACTTTTGTAGTTTCAGATTTCAGGCTGGAGGTTTGTCTGGATAGTGCAAAAAAAAAAAAAGAAAAAGATGTCGTTAAGCATGAGGACAAATCCCTCCTTCTGCCTCTCCTCTGTTCTCCTCCCCCTTCAGCTTCCCTGAGTGTCTGAGCTCTCCGGCCTGCACACAGATTGTTCTTGTTAGGTAGGAGTTTATAAAGTGCCGTGGGGGCAGGGACCCTCTCCACCCCTCTCCTCCCTCCCCTGTGTGGCTAACTGGATGTGCTAGGCTGAGACAACACTGGTGGGATGAAAAACAAAAACTTTATGACTATAATAACATCATGAACAAACCCTCAAACATCATCATCAGCAGCATGTGTCCTCTTCCTAAATATTTCTCCATATTTCTGCAGAAGGAGCCTCTGATTGACAGTCTGGCCTCTCCCTTAACCTCAGCCTCTGACACCGATGACAAACAGCAGGCCTGCTGGGGCGAAAAACAGTCGGCTTGTAAGAGAGACCAGCTAATGCAGGAAGAGGTTAATGTTTCCTGTGTGGACAATACACCCGTAACAGTCAGGAGAGAGGGGATTTTCATCCAGAGGCAAACAATTACACTCATACGGTGTGTGTGACCACTTCAGGGAGAGAGCATGACTGACTGCGTATGAGTGAGCCCCAGTGTTGGGGAGTAGTAAACTACATGAAATTAAACCAGTAGTTTAAATTCATTTTGCAGCAGCTTGCTGGTAGTTCAGCTTTATTCATATTTTCACTGTGATTTAAGTGGTTAAATTATTTTTATGCCATTTTTGTGTAGTTAAAGGTCCAGTGTGTTGGATTTAGGGTGATATATTTGCAGAAATGCAATATAACACATGTTTTCTTAAGTGTATAATCACCTTAAAACAAAAATTGCTGTGTTTTCATAACCTTAAAATGAGCTGTTTATATCTACATAGCTGTAGATATAAACAAATATTGCCATGTTGCACCGCCATATTTCTACAGTAGCCCTGAACAGACAAACCAAACACTGACTCTAGATAGGGCCATTCGCATTTTTGCATTTTCATGTTTTTTATTGGCCACTGTAGTTAGCAGCCTCTCTGTGATGGAAAAACACATTTTTGAAAATATGAAACTGCTTAATTCAGTGTTTTTACTGGTTTTAATCACCTGGTCCGTTTGTTTGGAGGGGAAGGCACTTCTGTGGATCATTAGCTGTGTTTCCACCGAGCAGTTCAGTTCAGTTCAGTTCGGTAAACATTTTTTCCGTTTCCACTGTAAAAAGTAGTGGATGGTACCAATGGGACCGCTCTGTACCGTCCCCATTTTGGTCCCCCCTCTGTTGGGGTACCTAGCACACAGATCTGGTACTAAAAGGTGGAGCTGTGAACACTGCAGTCTGTTGATTGGTCAATAGAGGACGGTCACTCCGCTCAGGGCTGAGTTGTGGCTGGTTTTGAGGCTCAAGTAACCACTGGTCATACTGTGGAGTTTTATTTGTAAACTGTAACTATAAAAGGAAAGGATGTTTTGCTGCCTCTCGCAGCAGCTGGAGTCTGAGAAAAAACAAACATAATTCACTGGGTCGACTGCCAGTGATTTTTAAGGTGGAACGTTAACTTGTAATGTTACTCAATGTATGAGTTGACGAGGTGAATCCATCTGCACACCTTAAATTTCACTAACAACTTTGACCATTTTATTAGTTTTTTATGTGACATAGACTTGTAGTAATGAGTGGATCTTAAAGTGTTTATATACATTAATTTCAACCGGGATGGCATGTATCCCAATCCTCACTCAGAGAAGAAAAAAAGCATTGTGGAGCATTGTTCCTGTGGGCACCGGCAACACTAAACCCCTGAGCTCTTCTGAGAGGGACTAAATGCACAAACCCACTATTTTTAAATATCTCATAGAGAGAGACAGCAGCCTGTTTTATTTTGTTTAGAAAATGATGCATTCTGTGGACGATAAACAAGGTGCAGACTTCCACCTTTGTCACCAGTAATGAGGACATACAGTGAGAGCTGGATGGAGCAGTGAGTGACAACAACCCCGCCCACATTTGAGAGTATTGATTGCAGTTGAGACTCTAGGGTCAAGTTGTCATGTCTGAAGGGTTAGTTTTGGTTCCAAAGGTACCATACCGAAGTGTTTGGTGTAAACAGGGCTATCCTACTCCTGGTAATACCCACCTGAAGAGTAAACACTGAAGCCATCCTAACCAGGAGCTCATGTTTGGTATGTGGGAGAAGTTTCAACTGGTTGCAGTTTGAAATCCTCACCAGTAGATGTCACTAAATCCTACACACTGCTCCTTTAACTACTGAAACTATAAACAATTTTGGGCCATAAAAGGAAAGAAGATTTTTAGCTTTACTTCTTCTACTTACTACTTCTCTATTGTATTGAAACCCCTTTGATCACAATTAGTCATAAGCTGACATTCCTTGTACTTTCCCCATGGGGTATTTTCAAGGGCGTAGTTAGGTGGGAGGGGGAACACATATGAAATGGGGGTTTGGGGGTCCTTTGCCAGAATATTTTGAGCGTCAAACACATCATTTCCTGCATTGTTGAGAATTTTTATGCAGCAATTTGTGCCCTTACTGCATCAGTTTATGGGGTTTTTGTCAAAATGAAAGTGGGGACATGTCCCATGCCCCTGCCCAACCCCCACCTGTGTACATGTTGACGCTTATGGTAATAAACTCAATCAAGTGTCAATTTATGCTGGTATGTGACCCTTTTGTATTATAGTTTGTCATTATACTTTCTAATTTGTATCACATGTTCATTTAATCATTTTTACACAGTAGTTTGAACCACTTTTTCTGTGCAGTTTTAGTAAACCAAACTAGATTCTCCCTACGGCGGCTTAGCTGTGATTCAGCTTCTTCCAGTGTGAGGTAATTGGCAGCTTGCAACACTGCTCTCAGTGTAGCTTCCCCAACACTGGTGAGCCCTTCAAATGATCGTGTATGCGTAGAAATGCATTTTTGGCAAGTCTGCAGTGTTTGTGATAGTCAAGACAAGTCTAACTTTATATGGTCATCAGGAGCATGAGATGAGGTCCTGCATCCTCCAGGTTTACATTCGTCTCAGCTCTGTTGATAGTCACCGATGTCTGTTTCAGTTGCACATAGCTCGACGTGAAAAAAAAAAAAAATCCCTAATAAGCATTCAGGGCTCTGTTTTCTTTTTGCAGGAAGGGAAGTGAATATGAAATCCAGTCCAGGGCAGAAGAAAAGCCTTTTATACAGCCAGTCATAAATAAGGGAACTGACTTAGTCCACAGAGTGCTCAGTTTTATTATGACTGTTTACAATTCAGAGGCACATAATGGAACACCTTTTTTCACCTAGAAAAAAACCCAGAGCCATTTTGCGATATATGGTTTCACTTTTTTGTTCCTCTCGTCTTTGTTTTTCACTTCAGCTCTTATGTAGAACATTTTCAGCACAAACTTTATCTACAGCCAAATCTTTGATAACCCCTCATTTTACAGGTCTGAAGTCTTGAAGGTGGCGGCAGTAATTATGGGCAAAAATACAGAATGTGTTCAACCGGTAAACTATCAGTAATCAGTTCTTATTAAATGTTAAGCTACTCTTTTTTGAATAAATCTTCTTGGCTTTAAAATGAGTGGTATTTTCAAGGATATACACAACTAACTAAACTAATATTTGCTGTACTTTGTCTCTATTTCGCTGAAACGTTGTACCAAATTACATAGTTCTTGCGCATAATTGCAATACCAGACCTGTAAAATAAAGCATTACCAAGCCGTTAAAAAGGACATTAGTTAAATAAATTATCACAATACAGAAGCTGCATCTCTACGTGCACATAAACAGAGCCACATACCGTTTACCATTAATCATATTACAGCGTTCACACAATGAAGCCTCAATGCAGCCAGAATAGCATCTGTGAACTGAACAGTGTCTGTGAAGAACAGTAATCCCCTGACAAAACAAGCCTTCCTGTCTCCCGTCGCTAAGTGAAATACCATCGGTGCTCAGTTCAGGATGTTAAAAAAAAAAATCTTTGATCTCTCTCCTCATCCTAACTTAAAGTTTCTAGTGGAGGGTGAGTGTGAAATTATGCAAAAAGTCTTAAGTCTTGCCTGTAAATACGCACTTGATGGCCTGACGTCACAGAACGCCCCATGGGGTTAATGGTACCTGAACATGAAAACGTAACAACTTTTCTGTGTGTGTTTGTTGGTTTTGTATCTCTTCCTCCAGAGGAATAGGGCGTGCAGCGATGCCTAACCACCAACATCAAAGGGGAAGCATGAGTGTATCCAAACAGCAACTCTTTCTGCGTCACTGACATCAGACAAATCAGTCTTATCAGAGGTCTGATGATGACAATAATCATATTTCCGTTTAAACAAAGCGGTCATTCTCTGGAAGAAAGCTGCTGAGGGTGAGGTTATCTCCTATGTCCTCGTCACTGTCTGCACCACCGTGGATCACCAGGACTCCGTTACTGACTGGATTGTGTTGTCTCGTGTAGGTGTGAGTCCTCTCGGGCAGCAGGGCCGAGATGCACATCATCTCCGTGGCCGGCTGAGGTTTCCTGACCTTGTACTTCCTTGCTGACAGCTTAGTGCAGAGGATGATGGTAGTCACCATGAAGATGGTGGCCAGCGCAGCCAGGGAGGAAACGGCGATGAGGCATTTCTTCACTAAGCCTCGGGGGGAGCAGGGTTGGGCCTCGGTGCTCTTTGAGACTTCACGAGGTGCTGCTGTGGTTGCCGGAGCTGGTTTGGTGGTTGGGACTGGCAACCTCTTGGTCACATGAGGGATCAAGATTCCTGCAGGACTGGTGGAGGCATTGGTGGTGGGAACATCAGTGGTGGAGACAGTGGCGTTTGAGTCATCGGTGGTGAAGACATCAGTGGCGGTGACATTGGGGTTTGAGTCATTAGTGGGGAAGACACTGGTGCTGGAAACATTGGTGGTGGAAACAGTGGGGGTAGAAGCACTGCTGGTGGAGTTCGGTGAGAATGAGGTGGGGTGAGACTGAGTGGTAGAGCTTGACTCTGCTGAACCAGCTGATGTGGAGATGGGGGTTCTCGTCACAGAAACGTGCCGTGTAGTCAAAAGGTCGGTACTGTTAGTGGATGTCTCACTTTTTGTGGAGTCGAACACTAGCGCTGTCTCAGAGGTGGGGTTAGGGGTCATTATGGTTGTAGTAGAGGCTGAGGGATCGCTGAGGGTCTGGATGAAGACTGGAGCCAGAGTAGAATTAGCAGGAGAGGTGGGGGAAGCTAACTTGGATGTGACTTCAGGCTCAGTGGTGGGTGTGTGCTGCGGCGAAGACACGGCCACTGTTGCTGAAGCTGCTACAGGAGCTGTTGCAGGAACAGTGGTGGGTGATTGCTGATGTATCTGATTCACTGTAGGGATCGCTGTCTCTATGATTGTCGTGTTGTGGGAAGGATGTGTTGCACCTGCAGCTGTGGTCACTGCTGCAGTGGTATGAGGCAATGGTGGACCTGAGCTGCTTGTCACTGCTGCCACAGTGTTCATGGCAACCAAACCAGAGGCGCTGTTTGTGCTGTCACTTCTGTGAGTGATGTTTGCCTCTGCCACTCTGGGTGACGCAGTGGTCTCTGCTGGTGCAGCAACACTAACCTCCGCAGGTGTGTGAGTGTCAGTGTGAGGTGCACTGATCATCTCCTTGGTTGTCTCCTCCGGTTCAGGGGTTGATGTACTGTTTCTGGTCCCTGGGATCGAAGCACTCATGGACTCCATTGAAAGCAAAACAGAAATCCCCCACAGTAGAGCCAGAGACGTCTTCATGCTTAGTAGCCTCATTGTTGCTTCTGAAATGACAGAAACTATTTAAATTTACAGGTTACAATACAAGAAGTCGTAGTAAAAAGACACACACAGAGGGAAAAACAGTGTCATGTGTCTGCTAGTGACATCTTATGATGACACGGTAATGAGTCTTCTCCACACCCGTTGCCACATTCTCACAGGAAAAAACACGTTTTTAGTAAATCGAAAACGTTCTTAAAAGCAGTCTGTACAAACACAATCCACAGTTAATGTCTTATTTTTAATTTGAGATCTGTTTAAACTACAGCACAAGTTTCAAAATCAGATGTGTAAATTTTGAAATGTAAAAGTTCAGAAAACATTAAGTAAATAATGTTGATAAATCACCCTCCTTTGTAAGAGAATCCCCACAGAAGATTACATTCTTAGGGAGCAGGTAGTAAACTTAATCCAACACCGTTACGTAAAAGGAAACAGCAGATCACAAAGCAGAAACATATAACCAGAGCGTAGATTTTAAATGTGTCCGACCACAGAGAAACCGGTCAGTGTCTTACCTTGCTGCTGGTGAAGCACAGGGCTGGACATGAGGTTAAAACCACATAAAAGTTTAGTTCGTTTCAGCCTCTCTGGGAGATGAACATCCTCTCTGACATGCTGACTGCTGACTGATAGAAGAAACAGGAAATGTTCACACTCACACACTTAAAAAAAAAAAAAACACTCTATATAACATTTCTAGAAAAGCCAGATACAGACAGTCACTTCCTTAGAAACGCACAGCTTTAGTTTGCATCAATAAGGAAGTCAACTCCACTACGAGCTTCTTTTTATTTCCCCACGTTGGCTAAGCTGCCATGTTTTAACATCTCCTATATATTATTGGTTATTATTAGATGTGTCTTACCTCACTGATGGAAAGCTGAGGTCAGATGCTGTTTGCTCTGCAGGTCCTGATGTTCTCAACACTACTTTATATAAAGCAGCAGGAAGTGCTCAGTTCTGTAAAGATGTCTCTCGAATGTCAACTTCTGATCACACTTCTGTCTGAGATTACAGCCATCAAGTCATGTGGGTAAAAAAAACAGTGGACCACAGTGACAGATCAGCTACACGAGGACGACATTATGTGTGTCACAGTGTAATACATGCAGAAATAAAATGCGCTGAAAATCAGAAAGTCCATGTAATGAATGGATTAAAATGCTTCGGCTTGGCGTCCTGGCTTTAAACAGTGATGTGCAACAACAGGCAAAATACAAAGTTTGGACTAACACTTTGTACCCTGTGAGGAAACAGAAATGTTCTTCTAGTGTGGAAATCATAACTGTCACTTCCTGTACTGATGAATCACACTGAGATGTGGTTGCGAAAAAAAAAAGTTAGGCCTACAAAAAATAGTGACATGAAAATAGTCTTGTATTTGTTTTTAATGTTTTGAGCATAACACAATTAAGTTCTCAAGTTTGAACCAGATGCTGCTAAGAGGTCATTGAGTTATTAGCAGTTCAACCAAGGAAACATGATCCTATATTTCATTTTAAAGAATGAAATTGAAATGAGTATATGTGGCACAGCAGAGGAGCCAGTGTTATCCAATCAACATTTTAATGTCCTCTTTAGCTCCATCATCAGGCGAGACATTAAGTAACAGCCAACTGAGAGGTTTGCAGGCTTTGATGGAGAGTGTGAATCAAGTTGTGTTTGAACTGAAGCCATTAGTTGATTAGCTCATTAAAAGAAAATTAATAAGCAACATTTTTGATTACAACCTGTTTAAGTAATTTTAAAAGCTTTGTTTGCCTACAGACTCTACATTCAGTTAATGTAGAGTCTGTATATAGAGACTATGGACGACATACTATACCATGACTTTTTTAAATTAACTGGTGCAAGCTTCTCTATTGTGAATATTTATTGGTTTTGTTTGTATTCTATGATAGTACACTGAATATCTTTGGACTCTGGTCCTGTAATCTGTTGCTCTGGAAAACTGTTACAGGTATTTGTCACTATTTTCTGATGTTTTTTATTCATAGATAAGCTGAATAATCAAGAAAACTGTTGGTACCCTCTGTACTTACCCTTACCCTTTTCATGATTTTTGACCACATATGACTTTTTTCTTGGTTTGGGACGACATACTATACTATGACTTTTTTTGACAACATACTATACTATGACTTTTTTTTCATGATTGTGGACGACATACTATACTATGACTTTTTTGACAACATACTATACTATGACTTTTTTTTGACAACATACTATACTATGATTTTTATTCATGATTTTTGACGACATACTATACTATGACTTTTTTGACGACATACTATACTATGACTTTTTTTCATGGTTTTGGACGACATACTATACTATGACTTTTTTTCATGGTTTTGGACGACATACTATACTATGACTTTTTTTTCATGATTTTGGACGACATACTATACTATGACTAGTTTCCATGATTTTGGACGACATTCAATACTATGACTTTTTTTGACGACATACTATACTATGACTTTTTTTTCATGATTGTGGACGACATACTATACTATGACTTTTTTGACAACATACTATACTATGACTTTTTTTGACAACATACTATACTATGATTTTTATTCATGATTTTTGACGACATACTATACTATGACTTTTTTGACGACATACTATACTATGACTTTTTTTCATGGTTTTGGACGACATACTATACTATGACTTTTTTTTCTATCTATACTATGACTATGATACTATCTCTGTAGTGATTCTTTCCATAATGTTGTCAGACACTTAAAATGATAACTTGAACATGTCAATGAGAAAAACAAGCCCTTTCAGTGTATGTAAATTGGCGGTGTGAATATGCCCTAGTGGTCACGTTTTGTTGCTACTGTCTGCAACACTCTTGTTAAGTACTAGACCAGTTAAAAAAAATGCTGCTCCCATTTTTCACTTACACACAAAAAGATGAGAAAAAATACCAAACTTATCCTTTAACTGATAATGAAAACACTGGTTAGTTGCAGCTCTAGACTGAGTGCTTTAATGTTTGAGCTGACCTACAAATACCTTCTTTATCCATACATAACTACCCTCACGAATACTATTCATTACGCTTTGTATTTGTAATTTACATGATATATTAATCTGCAGAAGTAATGTAATGTAATGTAATGTAGTGTAATAGAAGTATGAAGCAGCATAAAATGAAAATACCCGAGTTGGTACAGTATTTAAGAATATGTCCTGAGTTGAATTGCACCACTGTTCTGCAGATCTCTTTCTTAGCACTACATGCTAACACTGTTAAAGCTGCTCAGACATAAAGTACGTCTGCTGCGTGAAAAGTTAACAGGCTGACATTTCAAATTGATACCCGACAGTAGAATCGAAATTGAATTAACGTAACTGACACCAGCGGGGCTCTAAACTCGATGTGCAGGGACAGAGTTAGACAGAAGCCAAAAGAATATAAAGAAAAGAACAGAAAACAGAGGTTTTCATGTGTAAAATCTTTATTATGTGCACAGAACTGTTTGTCAGGGGTTCAGTGAAACACAAGCTGGGTGAGTGGTCCCTTCCCAACACCAAATATGCACTGGAGAGGGCGACTTTAATTTGACCCTTAACAGTGACAAGAGGCACCACTACATTTGCACAACATTTACACCAGAGAAATGCAACCCCCCCACCCCCCATCCCCAATAAAACCCAACGGTAAATTTCAAGCCCAGAAGAACAGGAACAAAACGTTTTAGAAGGAATTCTTCCACATTCATAAACCTGATGGTTTTCAATGAGCAAACTGGTGGGAGGAAAAAAGTTCAACAGCTATTGTCTTTAAAAAAAAAAATCCAGCTTGACTAAATCAATCTAGCAGGTTGTGACTGGAATGTACAACAGGAGAGAAAATAAATGTAAAAGCAGTGCATGAAGCCGCACACGATTCATATTTGGCAACACAAAAAATAACAATGGAAATACTGATGCTACATACAGTTTTTGAGTAGTAAGTACAAACTTCACATAAGAATGTTTTACCACAATTTGAAAAACAAAAAAAAAAATTAAGACTTTTTCCTTCAACAAAAATGTCTTTTCTTCAATTGTGTACATGAGCTGCGAGAGTTTTTCCTTTTTCTCTGTGTGTGTTGGGGCGAAGCGTGAAACTGGAGACTTGATGAGGAAAAAATAAAGTTCATCTTGGAATGTAGGGCTTGGTCTCATCGCAGGGACGACGCCAAGCTCAATGAAGCCGAATCTTTGAGAATTTGGCCGTGGCTGACCCCCCCGTCCATGCGATTCCTCTCCAAAAAATGACGTACGGTCCCGGGAATGGGGTCGCGTCTTACATGGCAACCTTGGCAACCTGCTCTTCCAGTCTGGCAATTCGACGGTCTTGGAGGATGACACGGTCCCTGAGTGACTTGAACTCTCGGAGTACCTCTTCCAGTTTATCTTCCATTTTCTGGGCAAAAACGAACAGACAGTTAGCTAGGATGAGTTCTATACACCTCACATCTGACTCTGCTGAAGATTTCCAGACTTTTACAGAAGATTTCTGTATTTGATCTACTTCAAAACACATTTTGTTAATCCTGGCAAAATGAGCAGGGATTTAGAGGCAATGAAGCCTTCTAGCAGTTAACATTTTCCCTTGCTGTTCCACTGAATTGTGACCTAAATACCAGAGTATGTGCTGATCCATAACTTTTGTGAAATGTTCCAACCGTAATAATTACTGTGAAAGAGAGAGTCCAAATGTCAGCAAGAAAATGCTGTGTGCTCTGATTGATCCCCAAAATACAGGCCCAACCATACATAAACCCACAGTTTCTGTTTAAGCTCAACCATTGCAGCAGTTTTGGGCCCAAGCCAATTAAAACCTGGCTTTCCACTGTAAACATTTTATCAAAAATATCAAAACTTTTGGTACAAGCTAAAGTCACTGAAGTCTTTTCAGTGCGGTAACAGACATTTGCGACATGGGGTGCTTTGTAAACAGCCACTCCGAGTGCTAGAGCGCATTTTGTCACAAACTAGAAGTTCAGAAATTCGGGCGCTTTTGGAAGATATGGTTCGATTCAGAGCACCACACTCTCAGAGTGGCAGAGTGCCAAGCATAGTGAAATTGAAACTAAATTGAAGATTATTTCATATAGAAGTAGAACACTCTAACACCGAAAAATTGGCAAGAACCCGACCTGATTCAAGCCAAGGGTAATGTTGAGAAATTACAACCTGGTTCAGACCCGGTGGACCGGATCAAGCCCAATTAGGTTTGGGCAGAGAATCAAAGCTTTAAAGTGAGATGCTTTTTCTTTTCTTTTTTTAAATATTATTTTTTCTGGGCTTTTTGCCTTTATTACAGGACATCTGGAGAGAAAGAAGGGGAAAATGCAGCAAAGGGCCACAGATTGGAACTGAACCCGGGCTGCTGCAAAGGACTCAACTTAAATGGGGCACACACTCCCCTGTTGAGCTACAGGTTGCCCCACAATGCTTTCTTAATAGGGAACTATAATAATAATCTGTTTTAAAGAGGAAACAGAAAACTTTTCAACTTTCTTAAATGGTATTAATGTTGGCGCCGCCATCACAAAGGCAATCGGATTGCTGTTTATCTCAGAGCAGAGCAACTACCAATTATTTTGGCTGTTCTACCATCCACCATTTCCGCTATTGGTGACAGTAACTGCAAAGAACTTACTCTGATACTCTTTGGTAACTGAGAAAAGCTATTGATAGCTACCGGTGAAAACCAAAGTACTATCTTCTTCCTTTTTTTGGTTGCAGAATAGTTGATGCACTTCCTTTATGCTGTAAATCGAGCTTTCATTTTCCCAGGAGACTGTACCCACGTAAGTGAGGCTTGTAGGGAGCCAATCTAAATCTTGATGGTGTCATTATTCTATAGCCATTACATTATGTGATCAACATTTGCTTCATAATATGATGTAATAAGAAGAACCATTCTATAGTAACAAAAGCAATAATAACTAAAAGTAAATTCTACAGTTAA